TTCAATCAATTCACGAAATTCCGCAAACGTCCTCCATTGTTTTCAGTGAATTTCTACCTCTAAAATAGACACGGTTGAACTCCACTAGGCACAGCTTTTCACTACAACTCCAGGCAACTCATATTAAAGCTAGTCACTAGTGAGCACATGATAATTATTAGTAACAATCTCTATAAGCCTATACTGATAATTATTTTTTATTTTATATTCGAAACCAACTTCAGCGAATTATTTATCAATATGATTTTCATTAGTGATTCAGGGTAATTCATTTCTTTTTTAAAATAAAAGCTCTACGTGTACCATTGTCATAATATCAATTAATTGACCTATCCAATATTCACTTTAATAATTGCCGAAAGATATAAGTAACTTTTAAAAATCAACTACCTAGACGCATTGTGGTGTGTGTGCATCCACGAGGGCCTGGTGCGAAACTGATATATCGTGGGTTTGAATTTCGCGGGGTGCGAGATCGTGGATGCGCACTGCTGAGGAGTCCCATGCCAGGACAAAACGGCCAACCAGTGCTTCCAGATTTTCCATGGTGGTCTAGCTTCAATTAACTCATGATTTCAATCAGTATGTGGTATTAGTTTAATAAAATGTATTTACTATCTTTATACACACTGGGATCTGTAATTGCTACATTAGGCTAATTACAATGAATGCTTGCATATAAATTTATATTCAAGAGAGTGTATGCAAATTGTTAAGTTGTATAGTTAACATTATGAAGTTAATTATATTTAACCTTTTTAATTCGCCGATAAGAACGCTTTATCGAACAAATATGTTTCTATACATCTAATAATATTCAGTGCAATTGTAAGTCTATGGTGCATGATAATCATTACTATAGGGATTAACAAACATAATATAAATGAGATAGTGTTGTAATTTCCCAAATGATCGATATATATTGGTTAGACAAATTGATACAGTCAAATATAATAAACCTCAGGATAAATGATACATTTATACTACTGACCAACCAATAGCTGTATTGATTAAGCCTAACGATAGACAGAAAAAGGCATAAAAACTAGGCTGTAAAATATATCTCACCATTAATACCACAGGGGTTTCCGCTGTCGTTGACAAAGTAAAAATAACAATATGTAACTGTGTAGGAAGTGATAACAAATATATTTTCAAAAAAAACACAGTTCTTTCATCAAATGTGGAAGCCATACGTTCAATATTTCATTTCCAAATATTCCATCAGTTGTCATAAACTTCATCGTTCCTTTATTGCCATAACAATTAATCTTTGTTTCCGTTCTCTTCGATTTGTTCTTCCCAACCATCTGCTTTCAGTTAATCCACTTATAATTGGCGTTACGTACTTGTGTTCACAATGCAGTTGTTACTTGTATGTTTTACCGCAAACCTCTGCATAAAATGAATGTACAAGCATATGCTAATGGTCACTGGACTGAAGTTCCAAATGATGACAGTCAGAATGACTGACTTCAAGAGGTATTTCCTATAGTTCTAGTGAAAAGCAGTGAACAGCGAAGTTCAACCGAGTATGTTGCAAGATAGTAACTCACTGAAGAATGGATGTGTCACTCAATTTCGTGGATTAGTTGAAGTTAGACATCAACACTGTTGGATACCGACCGGCTCAGTGGTCTAGTGGTTAAGCGCTCGCGCGCAATACTGCTAGGTCCTATGTTTGAATCTCACGAAGCGAAATCGTGGATGCTCGCTACTGAGGAGCCCCACAATCGGATGAAGCGGCCGTCTAGTGCTTCCAGGTTTTCCATGGTGGTCTAGCTTTAATTGACTCATGATCTCAATCATTGAAATAAAATAAAGTATACAGAAAATGTATGCCGTTTATATTAGAAAAAAAGATTAAGAAAGTACAGACTGCAAACGCATCTATTCCAGATTACTGATGTCTTGACTGAGAGTGTGTATTGCAAGTATACATTTATAAGTGAACAAAATTGATCTACACTTTCTTATTGACTGATATATTATGGTCAAAGACATGCCATCATAAGTTAGCAGATGTTAGAACTATTACACTGTTGTAAAACCCATCTTCTTGTGAAATTTATCATTTTAAGATATTCTGAAGAAATTAAACTCAAATGGTTTTTAATATCAATCAACACGAACTGAAAATGTTTCGAAGAGCCTGATAGTAGATTCATATTTCACTCTGATCCTTTACTCTTCAGTAAGATACATAAAGAACCAGTGTAAAACAAGTCTCGAAACGCGATAGAAATCCTCTAAATATACATTTAAAGACTTGTGAAACTAAAATGTTTCTCGTGGATCATCTTGTAACGTAACTTGATATTCAAACTTCATTCATCCTTAGACTAAAAACTAAGTCAAAATAATTATAGCTTACTTTTAATTTGATAGACAGACGAGTTCTGAATGCAAATGAACATGACAAATGCTTGTTAATAAATGGTGAGTGAATATTTAGTGTGGAAAATATTTTAACCCATTTTTCACACAGGGATAGTCTTGGAGTATAAATTCACCGCACAGTTCTAAGTTAATATTATTATGGGAATCTACATCAGATATTATTATTATTAGTGGTTTTATTCAATATTATATTTTTGGTACAATGCAGAACTCTCAGCACAAAGCTTTTCAACAAGTTTCCGTTTCTTATTTCTTGATCGACCCTTGAGATAAATATCGACTGGTCTGCAGTTAGATGTTAGCAGTTCAAGAATCGACATTTGATTAATGTATATTCTGTTCGATGCATATTGCCAGTCACCACGATGTCTCCGATTGGGCTCTTTTCTAATTTGTACAACGAAATGTAAAATTTTCACAAACGCACCTGAATAGGTTTATGCGATTAATAGGCATTATGATGTGTTAAAACAATCAAGGAAACAGATAAGTTATTGAAATATCCAGATGGCAAGAACAGGTAGCCCTGATATTCAGGCAGGCCACCTCAAACACAATGACGGTTATTTTGAGATCTACAAAAAAATAATAATTCCACGAACAATTGAGATATAGATTACAAACAATATCATGAAAGTTAACTGATCTAATGTCAACTATCTTCAGTAAAAATTAAAAAGTCAAATGGTTATGTCAAATACCAATCGCTTTCAATGCATGAAATCTTATTCTAGATGATGAAAAAGTATTTTCAATAAGTTATAAAACTGATGCCCATTTTACGTGAAGAATATTAGTAAATTAAATCTAATATAATAATACTCTTGAGTTAAGATGGTGATTGGAGATAGTCCTACATGAGGTTGGTCGAGATGCGGATAGCTCATTAGTAATGTCTCTGACATTGAAGCTGGGTGACACGGGATCGAATCCGTCAAGGAGCACCGGTTCCGTCACTACCACAGGTACACCTTACTGACAAGTGCCAAATAGCACGAAATCTGGGTTCAGGGCTTCTTGTTGACTACCTCCAACCACCATCTTATCTCAACAAAATGCACGCACGTCGAGTCACCAAGACTAGTGGCCATATTGCAACTCGGTCGATAGAATTCAATCTGCACTAAGAAGTACCTGACATACATGACATTGATAACCACCCAGTGATAAACCAGTTGTAAGTACTGTTGAGTAAAATACTTCTAAATCTAATTAAAACAGAACAATCTTATAGCTAATCTTTTACAAGATACACTTTGCGATTTTGTTAGTAAGTATATTAATCAGTGAAAATCCCACGTACATATTGCATCCACGGTGAATGTATGAAATGTTGAAATAAATATATGCTCGTATAACTTATTCAGATTACCATAATGCTGAAGATTCCCATACTAGGATGAAATGGCCGTCCAGTTCTTCCAGGTTTTTAGTGATGGTCTAACATTTATTGATTCATAATCTCAATCAAAAAATTAACAATCTTCACAACCTCACACTGATGATTACCATCCTATTAGTAATCCTATAGACTTTCTGGTTGGAATATTATTTAAAACTAAGCCATTGGTGGACAGTGGCTTAATTTAGTGGATTCGAAGAGGTCTTGGGTTCAAATCCCGCAGGGCGAGATCGTGGATGCCCACTACTGAGTAGTCCAGTAATAGGACGAAACATCCATCCAGTGCTTCCAGGCAGTAAAGCTTCAATTGACTCCTGAACTGAACAGAACGCCTTTCTAATAATACTGCCAAAGGAAAAAAACTCCTGAGGGATGAAACTAGACTCCCGCAAATTGTAACCATGATGTCACCATTGTCAAATCAAAAATAGAAGAAATTTACAGTCTGTTTTTTCTTTTAAAAAAAGTATTATTAAAATGAATTGGATCACTTGAAAAGAAAAGACAGTAGCTAATGAACCACTTAATGATGAACAAACATAAAAATCATTGAATTTACAGATGAACTTAACAGCAACAACAAAAGACAAGAAGACACTTTCGAAAAAAACAAAAAAACATTCAATATTCCAACACTCCACAAACGTAATGATTATTCAGTGTTTAATTAGTATTTCACAAACATATAATGCATCATAATTCGTTAAATCAAGAAAAAAGGATTAGTGGGCGGCCTATACTCCTCCATGAAGAGTAACAGGCGTAAGTAAATAAATAAGTAAGAAAAAAGGATGACAATTTATTAAAAGTACATGGTTGATATTTACGTTGTTTCCTCTTTTAAAGTGATTTAATAATAAGCTTGAAAGACAGACCTACAGCATGTTTATGAAAACAACAACATAATTATGACCATAAATGGTTACATATATATATGAGTATATATAAAGTAAATAAAAAGATGTAAAGTACTGTATGTAAATCAATGCAAATACAAATCTGTTATTTTGTATCGATAAATGAAATGGAATAGTTAGTAAAAATGCATTTCTTTTATTAATTAGATCCAGAATGCTATGAAAGTCAACCATGAAATGAATTAAGATTTATGTCATCAAACTTATTATGAATACCCAATACCCTGAGTATATAGATATATAGATATATATATATATTGCCTCATGTATATTTAGTCATTTCATCGTGATGAAGGTGAGATTGATCTGTTGGAACGTGATCTATTAGACGATGAACATTGATCTGGTGTACGAGCTCTAATTGGTTGTTCTAAATGATCTGAAATAGTTGAATCTTGAGTTTTATCTTGAGTGAAATCATGACTTGCAGCTAAAAATGCTGAAATTAATGTTGCTGCACTTAATTTAGCTGCCATTTCTGAAGGTAGTTGAATACCACATGTTGATGAACATGATGAATGACACGATGAACCAGTAGTACCATCTGTTGTAACATTTAAAAATGAAGCATCGGTTGCACCACTTTCAAATGTACTACAACTTAATAAACTGCTTGCAGTAGTTGAAACACTAGCATGACTCAAACTACGACTACGACTAGGATGTCGTCTTAATCGTGTCCAATCAGTGACTCTTAATCGTGCAGCTTCTATTTCAGCTTCTAACTGACCTAAATTTGTACGAATCTGACGATATGTTTCAACAAGATATTGCTGTTGATCAATCCATCGGCCATGTGGTGTGGTACCAATGGTAGATCCAGTATTTCTATCCATTACAATTCCAGGCATCTGTTAGTGTATAAAAGAAATTTAAAATGTTAATAAACGAGAAACTGGGACGAACACAAAAATGGTTAAGCATAACGAAAGATTTTTAGTCGATAGAATAAAATCGTTGTAAAATATACATTCTATGAGTCTAACCTTTCACAGCATGTCTATAATTGATCAAGATCATAAGTACCCTTTATCAACATTTGAGGTTTCTTACTTTTAATAGACTAAATGTAATGCATATAAACACAAGTTTATAAAACATCCGTAAAATAATGTTAATGATGCTTTAATAATTTATTTGACTTAACCAGCTTATATAAAATATCACACGTTGAATATATGTAATTTCAGTTTAACATCTCAGTTCCTATTTACTGTTACTTGATAAAGATGAATCGAAATAATGAATTGAGTTACACACTAAAGACAATGATGAGCAATCGCTCAGTATCCTGGATTGGTTGGAATTAGACATTAACACCGTTGGATGCCGTATCACTGTTAAAATATAACCTAGTGAATATTAAATTACTGGTAACTTCTGTGAACTATTAATGAACTAATATTATGTGTAAGGACGCTAGGCAGCTCATACTGGTCGAACGTCATTAGTTTGGCTCAGTACTATGATTGTATAAGCCGCATTTCGATTGGCAAATAAATCGCCTGATAATTAGCCAGGCTTAAAGTTACAACATGTTCTACAGGTTAAGCGTTCGCACACGAAACCAAGGGTCATGGGTTCGAGCCCCACGTGCGGGATTGTGGATGTGCGTTGCTGAGGCGTCGCATACTAGAACGAAACGGTGTTTCCAGGTTTTCAATGGTGGTCTAACATTGGTCCACACAAATCTCTGGATTGATGAACCATGCAAATATAAATTAATTGTATGTTACAAGAGCCTTTTAACTGTTTGACGATCTCTATAAAATATTCAAAAATAAGAAATATTTGGGTGAACCATTGTTTCCAATCGCCTCATCATCAGAGTCTTAAGTTATAAATCCACAATTATTTTATTACAGTGGGATACATAAGTAAGTATATTAAACAATGTTATATGTTAAATTGGTGGACTTTTGTAGATTTTACGGGTAAAATACGTTCACAGTTGTATTTTGTAAATTCTAAAGGTTACTGAAGAACCATATAGGAAAATTTGTTGTAAGGTGTACAGTTCCAGTCAGTGTAATAAAATAAATCACGCGAATAAAGTGGATAATAGGAAGAATGTTCTGTAAAGTTAGTTCAGATAATGACAATAGAAACGAGAGAATATAATATGTAATAATGCAAGTGCCGTCATGATAATTACTATAAGAAATTTATATGTATCGAGAGAGACGAATATTAAAACTGAAAATAGATTAAAACAGTGATAAATATAAAAGGGTTATGAAGAGTAAAGGTTTTTGATTTGTGACTTATATATAGGATGATCCAATTGTAATTCACGGTAAACGGAGTTGGTGAATGCTCCTTTTTTAGATGTATAAGTTCCACTTTTTCAGAGTTGATCTCGACGACTTCCTCTAGTTAGAGGAACGTTAGTATTACTCTTTTATATAGGCTATTCAAAACTTTCCAGAGATCAAAGAAGAGTTGATCTGTTTTGACGTGATATTTGTTTTCTGCTGAGTGGAAAGTATCACGCTGTTGACGGATTTCATGACTCTTTTTCCTAACCATGAAGTTTTATATTCACAAACACGCAATGATAAATCCCACTGAGTACGACCTGTGTAATCAGCTGCACAAGAGCTGTCGAATTATTATATACATCAAAAAGCCCATCATCGAATTCTTATCTTTGAATTATTATTTAAATACCAGTTTAATAGGGAAGGTAACATACAACTGTACAGAGGTAAGTGTAATTTCAACAGATTTGCCAAGTTGGTGTGTTAAAATATATATCATCATATCTTCTTTAAAATGAGGTAATTATTGTCAGCTGTTTACCTCTTCTTCAGTCCAAACGCATACTTTTTTAAGGAATTGAGTAGAGAACCATTGTTTCATAGCGTATTCTGTAACTTATCTATTACTTCATTCACACTATATTCAAACCAAAATATTCTGACTCAATGGTTGAGGTATTTATTCGTAATTTTTCAATCATTAAAGTTCATACTCCAACGATATCTATCATAGGTACATTAATATTAATAGTTAAATTCATGAATCAATTAAAGCTAAACCACCATAGAAAACCTTGAAACAGTGGACTGCCTTTTCGTCTAAGTAATGGACTCTTCGGCAGTGCGCATCCACGATCCCACTCGCCGGATTCAATGCCGACTCAGTGATCTAAAGGTTAAGCGTTGGCGCACGAGACCGATAGGTCTTGAGTTCGAATTCCATGAGTGGGATCGTGAATGCACACTGCTGAGGAGTCTCAGAGTTTCCATGGTAGTGAAGCTTTGATTGACTCATGAATATAACTGTTAAATTACTAAAATATCCACAAAAAACCTTTCTGACATTCATATTAGACTTTTTATTTAACAAATATTTTTCATATATCCATTTAATTATAAATTAGAGATTTCTAATACAAACTACCTGCGGTTATAAATTATTTAACTAAAAGTATCCCTTTTTCCAAGAAAATGCGTATTATTTACTTTCATTTTATATTAATAGTCCTATTAGCGGAATGATAATATAATTCACTTGGTATTATTTGGCTTGTATCTTCCCATTGACGTTTAAAACTGAAATTGATCAGTCTGTTATCGGCATATGTGCGTACTGTGAGTATGCCTTGATATTGCCTTAATTCACAAGCTTTTTGTAAGCAATCATGGGTAGTGGCTAGCAGTGGAATCCTGGACTGATCAATTGCAGCGCTAAACATCAGTGGGAAGATACAAGCCAAATAATACCAAGTGGAGTGAAATTCACCCCATTACACAAGCAAGTGGCTATCAGGACTCAGTAGCTAAGTGGATAATGCGATGGAGTTTGAAGCGAATGGTAATGGGTTCGAGTCCCAGAGTGAACATCAACTCTGAGATGAATATATATCCAGCTGACGAGTCCTAAATAGGATGAAACGCGCGTCCTGGATTCCACTGCTAGCCACTGTCCATCATTGCTTACAAAAATGATTACATAAGTTTAAGTTAAGAAATAGATTAATCAACATTGAAAATGAATAAGTTTGTATAGATAGATTACTGGACACTATATATATATATATATATATATATATATATATATATATATATATATATATATATATATATATATATATATATACTACTTATTTTTATAAGTTTGTCTTGGTAAAGCGCAAAATTTAGTTGCTAGACTATTTTTTCATGGGTAAATTGTAGAAAGATATATACCAGATGTTAGACAGAAATATTTCTATATTATCCATAGACTACATCATTCAATGATTCTAATTTTCTATTAGGTATTAGGAAATATTGAACAGTTGTTTTGTTCGAATATGAAATTGATCATTAGCACACATGTATTATTTCACCGATGATGAAACTTAAGACCTTCACTCTGACACTTGAACTTTCGACCTCTAGGTCAATGAACTGATACCTCATGGTATATATTTTGAACTTTAATCAATTGGAGATAATACATGGTCATCACTGGTTGCTTGATACTATCATTTAGTTGTATGATGAATGTAATCATCCATTCATTTATCGACAAGTAGAATGTTGAAAAATTAGTCAATAGTTTTAGTAAGTACAGTTTATCTTTGGGTGTAGTAAGAGAAAAGTGAATAGATTGAAAATAAAAACTAAGACTAGTCATAGAATCATTATTACTGAATACTTATCAAGGAAATGAAATTAGATAATGAAACGTATGGAAAAGATAAGGAATTAATAGATTTTAAGTACAGATAAACAAAACAGCCAGCTGAACTGATAAGTCTTATCGATTGAACGCTATATTAGTTTCCTAAGCTATTCTGGTACCCCGAAGGCTAAAACTGCACAGCGACTTGAACACCAAAGAGAAGACACAAGTATGAGGGAAAATACTTTACTCCGAGGTTCATTTTATTTCAGAAAATATAGGGTTTTTATACTATATCTAAATGTCCTTGGGTTGTCGGAATATTCTGGAATGCTACTAAACATAGTAGCACTGTAGTAGCCAACCAGTCAGAGCTTCCGCATGTGACGTTTCGTTACCTTGATATTTCTGGCCAAGACTGCAAATGAACGCTGGTTGGACGAAACACTTTTTAATGTTTCTTGATGCTTGCTTGTCTTTTGCAAGCGATTGCTGGATCACCCCAACATGAACATAACTAGGATATATGTAAGTAGTTGAACAGACCAACATCAAATGATTTCACTAACTGACGGGTATTAATCTACTGAATAACTAGGCAATCATTCTAACAAAGTAACGTTTATATTATATAATGATATCAATGAAAACTACTGAACACTTCAGCTCATTTATATTGATTCTATACTGTTCAGTAAAGCACACTAATAATGTAATCCGGATAGAGTTTAGGATTTCTAGATCTTTCGGTACATTACTATCTCCTTTTCAACAATTCTAGAATTAATACCAACTTACGATCAAAGGTTCATACGCCTTTTGTCCCCTAGAGCCCATGTGCACTGTTCGTTTAGAATTAGGGTTTTCCAACTCCTCTAGGTGGATCTTCCATAACAGAAAGTATGTATTCATATTATCCCTAACACTCCACGTTTTTTTCTAGTTGTAAAGGGCATTACTCCTTCCACTTAAAAGATTCTCATTTAGGCAGAATAGGATGAATACTATTAATAATGTGGATCATTAAAATTGACTAACTCTTGTTAGCTTTATCAGCCTCTTGAAAATATGATATTAGATCAAGTAATTTTGGATCGACCCATCACTATAAATGAATTGTAAATTGATTAAATACTGACTAATGTCATTTGTTCACCAACGGACAGTAGAACTGTCTATCACAAAAGGAATTTTCTAAATTAGATATTTCGTATTATAGTTTCGGCATCAACTTCGA